ACACCATTTAGACACCAATATGTTTCTACGAACGTCAATGATACTTAAAAAAAATAATACATTCATACACAAGTGCGATGCGCTTTGCTTGATACCTTCAACTGGCACACTCAACTCTTCACCTTGTTCTCCTTGCACAATGCTCCTGCTTCTCTTGTTTTTCACGCTATTGATTACTTTATAGGGATTTCAATAATTTGAAGGAGGACAATAGAAACGGAGTCTCACTAATATACAGGTTGGGAAACAATTTGTTTGGTCCGATGTTACTCTAAGTTTTTCTTCCCATAAGAACAGAATTAAATTTCGTATAAAAATCATATGTGTTCCGAACAGAAATTTTTTAGAAAGTTACTTTGAGAATATACAACATTTTGTCCGTCGTTTTCGTTTTGTGACTCTTTGTACGGAAGCCCTGATATTTTATCATCGCCTTTTTTTCCTTTTATTTAGCACGAACACTATATACGCGGCGTTCTAATGGAAGTTAGCTCGTTTAAGCTAGTTTGCATATTCAGTTCTTCACAAACTAAAAGGTTTGATTATTGATTCTTCTTTTCCTTTTGTTGGTTTTAAGTTTAGAAAGAATGGCTTTTGGTATCAAATCGTTTAAATTTTATATCCGATATATTTAATCGACCACAATTTTTGCTAATTTTATAAAAGTATCGTTTCTGCACCAATCATTTATGTATAATATGATGTGTGTACTATATGTTTAATAGTCCTTTTTTTTTCTTCTGTTGTCGTACAGTACAAATGTTAAACAGATTTTTTTTTATATTTGCTTTTTCTTTTTAATATTTTATCAAATATCAATTCTATTTAATGTATGTTAAACAGATTTTGTTTATATTTGCTTTTTCTTTTTAATATTTTATCAAATATCAATTCTATTTAATGTATGTTAAACAGATTTTTTTATATTCGCTTTTTCTTTTTAATATTTTATCAAATATCAATTCTATTTAATGTCTGTCAGGTTAAATTTTTTTCTTTTTTTGAAGTACCATATCATCACAAAGCAATAGCAAGAGCACTTGCCGACGTTCACACTTCAACTCCTGAAACCCGACTGCCCTGAACCAAACTCAACTTACAACTCACCCCTCTGACTTCAATTTTAAATCGCAGACAGACTTCTCCTTTTTACTCAATTTCCCTCTTCTTCTTCCTGTTGCTCTCTCTATAACGGCTTGCCGCTACTCTCACAAGAGCAAGCACAGATCCCGCAAAATAATACGATTTTGCCTATGCTTGCAAGAGCAAAAGGAAAAAAAGGAGTACCGCAAAATCATACGATTCTGCCTGTACTTGCAAAAGCAAGCAAAGGTACCGCAAAATCATACGATTTTTGCCTGCACTTGTAAGTAAGGAGATCAGAAAAGAACAAAATAAACACATATACCGCAAGATCATGCGATTTATTAGCGGTACCACAAAATCGCATGATTTTGTCTAACGGCATGCCGTTATTCCGCCGCTTGCGGTTGATACAGACCGACAGACACCCTACCCAAGGTTTGTTCGCGGCCGTTACAGGGTATATGATGGACTTTGTCCTTAAGTCGTAATAAATAAATAAATTAATTATACTATTAATGCAAAAAGTAATTGACGGACGGCCTTCCCTTTGGCCGATTGATAGAAAATGTCTGGTAAATTAATTAATACATGCAAAAATGGAAAAGGGATATGACGAATAAGTTTTCCCCTTTTACCTATTTTTACTTTTGAACACATGTCACGGATGCCTGCGGGTAATGGTGGTAATTGATCAACAGCACAGTGGAAGCCTTATGGCGGAAGCAGTCAGTTGATCAATTTGTGAGTCCTGACTGCTTGGGTGCAGCCCTTGGGGGAGTACTCGTGGGGGTTGTGGTTGGCGAGTTCCTAGCTAAAATGGAACAATTGAGTGCAGCTAGGCCTCGCCATTCACCAGAGTGGGGTTTATTGTTCCATACACAATAAACTGTTCTGGACT